CCGATATTATTCAAAGAACATTTTTGACAATGAAGATATTTACAAAGCTGCCTCGATTTTTAATGTTCCATATATAAATGAAAATAAAATCACACGTATGATTTTCCCCCCTCTTTCCTTTAAGTTTCTATTTTTAACTCCTGTACAATATCAGATGTAATACCCTTGTGTTCTTTCCCTAGTCCTGGCTCCTACCCATAAAATATACACATGCTACAGGAATCCAGGTACAACCTGGGATGCTTCCTATCCAGTTACTGTTATTTTTATTGTGGTTAAAACACTGAGAAATTGGTTCCACGATAGATCAATACTCCATATATATTATGAGTGGATATGTCTAATGGATGGAATAGCAGAAACCACCTAACAGACATGGGGGATGATTCATTTCAGACATGTGGCATACATACAGGATTCACTCTTTGGTGGGACAGAATGTTCGTATAAGGAGCTCAGAAACCTCAGTGCCAGTTGAAATTTGGCAGTTGGTTCCGCCCAGCTGTTCCTAAAGGTATTCTCTCTGCAGGGATTTAAAAGTGGCTCCTAGCTATGGCTTAAGACTTTTATGTTTCACTGTTTCTGTTTTGATTCTTCCCTTTGGAAAATAGAGAAGATGACATGTGTATCCAGTAGTGAAAGGTTTATGAAGTTCTGTAGAGTTAGATCTAAATGATCACAATTGTCAATACTTAGTAAAATCCATGGGGGAAAATAGTCATCATGTATAAAGTATACAATTACATTAATTAATTATTATTATTGTTTTACCTTTTGACTGGTGGTGGCGGTGGCATCTGGTAGACAACTAGACAACCCACGAGAAAGAAAAGCAGAGGAGTGATTTCAAGTTTCAGGCTTTGTCAGGGTCTTTGAAGTCATCATTTTGGGGATTGCTTGTCATGCTCTTCAGTGTGCATCTGTTGAAGAAAAAGGAGAAAGAGCCAAAAAACCTCTGAGATTGGAATTGTCTTTATTTAAAATTGTTTTTCAGTCTAAATCCTTTTTTTAAAAGGGAGACTTCCGTTGTTGATCATTTCCTATTCCTTTAAAGAGTTAAATGTATTAAAATTTAAAAGTGTAACAAGTAACATGAACGTACCGTAAATAAAAATATTAGGACATACTCCATATCTTCCTTACTTTACTGAGACGTGAAGAATAAATGTGATTTTTTAAAAAATTCTCTTTTCTTTTAGAGAAAATTGAATTTACAAAATGGACAAATTACAGGAGTGATGGCACACATTGTAGAAGGGCTCTCTGATTTTCAAAGCACCATAAAGACGAAACAGCTGAATTTAACATATACAAATCATAGTGCATACTGTTCAATATACAAGACATTGTAGTGAAGAACTCTATTGCACAGAGCAAAATACTCCCATCTCATAAATAGAAGTAAAATTTGAGTGACCTACTCATAATTTTATATCTATATAACACAACATGAAATAAAGAATTAGCAATTATGAAAGGAAGGAGGACTGTTAATTATCTTACAGTTTTGTCATAAATCAGAGAAGAATTTTTTTCTTGAATTATCTAGAATATAGGTAGACAAGTAGTCTATAAAATGAGTACCATCTAAGCAGCTTGAATTCACTCTGCACTGTGTAGCTCTTGAGAAAGGCTACTTGTAGGATGGACTTGGGTGTTAGTATTGAGCTATGGAACATCATGTATGCACAGTGAAAAAACTCTCACTGTGTTTGAATTTTTAATAGTTTATGACCCAATAGAAATTTTTGTTTGTTCAAAACTCTTTATCAATTTTTCTTCTTAATACAAACACATATAATGCAAGTTTGTTTCTGAAATCACATAGAGAACAGTATTGAAAACTAGTAAGATTAACTGTAATGAATATATCATACTAATGTAAAGTGATCAGGGACACCTGTCTGGCTCAGTCAGCAGAGCATGCAACTCTTGATTTCGGGTGTTGTGAATTCAAGCCTCACATTGGGTGTAAAGATTACTTTAAAAAAAATTTTTAAAAGTAAAATGATGAAGGGCACCTGGGTCACGCGGTCAGTTAAGGGTCCAACTCTTGGTTTCAGCTCAGGTCATGATCTCAGGGTCATGAGATCAAGCCACATGTTGGGCTCCACATTCAGCATGGAGTCTGCTTAAGACTCTCTCTCCCTCTCACTCTGAAATAAATAAATAAATAAATATTTTTTAAAAAGTAAAATGATGATAATTGAGGAAATTGGGTGTGGGATACATGCAAACTCTTGGTACTATCTTCTCAATTTTTTTGCAAATCTAAAACTGTTCTTAAAAAATAAAGTCTATTACAAAAGAAACTAACGAGCAAAACTTTTTTTCTGTTTTGTTCAATCTCCTTGTTATAGGATTTTTTCCATTACCTGTAAAATGTTAAGTACTCAGATGTAAAACAAATATTAAGATATTCCTGTAATATTTTCCTTTTGAAAATGTCACATTTCTTAACTATTTGAACCATTTCCGGAAGTTAGTGCAGATCTCTATCTAACATTTGGTTTACTAATACCTAACAAGAAGAGGACAACATAGATTTTTATTTCCTCTGTAAGGCAAAAACACATGGAAAATTTCTTGCTCTCTATTATCTCTACTAAGTTTAAACTATATCAGTTTTACTTAAAGAATTAATCTTTTAGAGTTAAGAGTGAGATTCATTTTATATTTTACAATTAAGTATTTTCTAAAACTAAGGACTAATAAATAGATCTTTGGAACTTTTTTTTATAAAGGTTACAATAAAAATGTGTGCAATTTTACAAGTGATAATGTGAAATTTTACCTTGAACTGATATTTTAAATATTATTTAAAAGCTACTCATATTTATTACCCTAAGTTTATTCTTTTAGCTGTTTTGATTGAAAAAAAATTTGTTTACCCCCACTGAAGATGGTAACAAATATATTCTAGTTGCTGTATTCTAAAGCAGTGCTTAGAAACACTGATGCTGAGTGCTATTTCTGTGATTCCTTTGATGACATTTTCTGAGTTTAATTTTTTCATTACCCAGCTATCTTCCAGACACTGGCATACTGACTTTTCTAATTAATATTCTATGTACTGGAAATGGTATTCTTACTTTCTATTTGTGGAGAATTGAACAGCACAACCACTATAAGTGATGTGCTGGTATGTTACCTTATAAATGCTCAAGGTACAGCTTCTAATGTTGAAAAATAGAAAAATAAATTGACCTTGATGAAGTGTGTCTTCTTTTGTCTGTTCCCAGGAAAGTTTATTTCAGGTACTTCTACTGCTGAAATGATTAGCGTTAACAGCTTTTTCCCTCCATTTTATTTTACAGGGTGTCTTCATCTTCCTGATATATGGGGTATACAACACAGAGGTAAGTCTGCTTGGAGTATCTCAAGGCTGACAGAGTGAATGAGAGAAATGACAGGTTTCTCATCTTGATAACTGAGGAACAAAGTTGGCTTTTCACATGAGTGTCCTACTGCCCTTCATGCTTGGACTAGCTTATATGCATCCCAGCTTACCATTAAACACTGACACCCTGAATAAAGGGACAGCCTCATTTCTCATAGGCATTGACTAATATTTTACTACTGCCTTAAGATTTTGAATTTTCAGTCTTTCTTTTAACACTTAACTATACTTGATGGTATTAAAGTTTCACAGTTTTAAGTGGCAGAATGCTTATATGTAATTGCATAGAGTTAGAAAAATATTATTTCTTACCTCAAAATGATCATTAAATATTATCTTTTAAGTTTTTAAGCAGGCTAAGAGAGGCCCATAAGGAATAATGAATAGTATTTATGGTCTCAATGGTGAAATTTCTCAGAGAAGTCATTTATTATTTAATTATGAGAAGTTATTTAGCTAGAAATATTGAGAAAATTGACTTGAAATTTCATTAAGAAAATATACTATGTAAGTAAATTATTGTCATAGTTCTAGTTCTTTTATGAAAAGAATTCTGTGATTTATAAATAGGCTCTGGTAGGCAAGTTGCTGGTTTAGATTTCTGCATGCTTAATATGAGAGTGAGTGCTTTGTGTACATTAGGCACTGAGTAAAGACTTGTTTGATTTTTGTTGGTCTTTGATTTCAAGATTTTACTTCGTAATTTTGCATGCATTTCTCAGCATTCTATGCTCGGGGAGGGCAGAGTGAATCCTAGTAGAGATCTTAGCAGGGCCTAGTAGTCAGTTTTTCACAAGTAACATAAGGGGCTAGGCAACAATACAACACGTCAAACAGACTCATTAGCCAGACTGAAAAGGTATGTGGGAATTTAAATAACATCTGATGATGATGAAGTATGTGTGTGGGCGTGTTTTACAGGGCTGCTGCACCTGGATTACACGCGGTTTCCTTTTCCAGTAGCCTTCAGGTAGGTTGGCAACAAGACTTTTTTTTTTTTTTTTTTTGCAACGGTACCTCTATTGCGGTTTCAAAGCAGGCTCCTCCTATAAATGCAAAGGATACACGCCCATTATTAAAATATTTCCAAACTAAGAGGGATAACAGAAGCAATGTTTTAATAAATGTTGAGCACTTGAAGTTTACTGCTTTTAGGTAGCATCAAAAGTGCCCTAAGTGATCCACTTGTGGGTTTGGATTTTGATTCAATACTTGGACTGCAAACTAAAGCAGAGAAAGCCCCCACATTCAGTCCTCAGTTTCCCCCACCTTTTCCGCCAGCCTCTTTCTCTGCAGCCCCCAAGCCACGCTGCATTACGGTCCTGCGTAATTCCGCCCCTTGGGTTCCACCTCCTGAGCGGCCTCCCCCAGAAGCCCTCATCCACGTCCACCGCCGTCAGTGCAGCCCACCAATCACGCCTGCTCGCCTGGAAGCCTCTTTCTACAGGGCATCCAAATCCCCGCCCCTCGAGCCCTGGGCCTCCCCTCCGCCCAACCGCCCCAGTGATTGACAGGCAGGCCGGGCGGAAGCTGCGGCGCAGGCGCCGTGGCTCCACAGAGCTCCCCTCTGGCTGGGTTGAGGAGTTCCCAGCAGACACCGCGCCGCGGCTGCGCAGTACAAGGGAGGCTTTTAATTCCATTGTGGAGAGGACGGCGTTATTTTTATTAACTGGAGGCGACGGCGGCTACGGCGGCGGCGGTACCCGTAAGTGTTGCCGGTGGGTCGGAGAGGGAGAGGGCGAGGCCTAGGGAAGAGTCGCAGGACCATGCGTACCGGTGCCGGAGGCGACCGGGCTGGGAATTAGTGCTGGGCGCGTTGCGGTCTGGGCGGCGGCGCGGCGGGGTCCTGGGCGCTGCGGTGGTCCCGGCCCGGGGCCCGGTTCCACCCCCTTTCCTCCCTCTTCCCTCTTCCTCCTCCTCTCCTCAGCCAGGCCTCCTCCGGGGTATGAAAATCGGCAGTGGGTTCCTGAGTGGCGGCGGTGGTACCGGCAGTAGCGGTGGTAGCGGCTCCGGCGGCGGTGGTAGTAGCGGCGGCGGCGGCGGCGGCAGCAGCGGCAGCAGCAGGAGGGCAGAGATGGAACCCACCTTTCCCCAGGGTATGGTTATGTTCAACCACCGGCTTCCCCCGGTCACCAGCTTCACCCGGCCGGCGGGGTCGGCCGCCCCTCCCCCGCAGTGCGTGTTATCCTCCTCTACCTCCGCAGCCCCGGCCGCTGAGCCCCCCCCTCCGCCAGCCCCGGACATGACTTTCAAGAAGGAGCCGGCGGCGTCAGCCGCGGCCTTCCCCTCGCAGAGGACCTCCTGGGGATTCTTGCAGTCTTTGGTTAGCATCAAACAGGAGAAACCCGCAGATCCTGAGGAGCAGCAGTCCCACCACCACCATCACCACCACCACTATGGGGGGCTGTTCGCTGGGGCTGAAGAGAGATCTCCAGGCCTAGGAGGTGGGGATGGGGGGAGCCACGGCGTCATCCAGGACCTCAGTATTCTCCACCAGCATGCCCAGCAGCAACCAGCCCAGCACCACCGCGACGTATTGCTCAGCAGCAGTAGCAGGACTGATGACCACCATGGCAGTGAGGAGCCAAAGCAGGACACTAATGTCAAAAAGGCAAAGAGGCCAAAGCCAGAATCTCAGGGAATCAAAGCCAAGAGGAAGCCAAGTGCATCTTCCAAACCTTCTTTGGTTGGAGATGGAGAAGGTGCCATCCTGTCCCCAAGTCAGAAACCTCATATCTGTGATCACTGTAGTGCTGCTTTCAGAAGCTCCTATCACCTGCGGAGACATGTCCTCATTCATACTGGAGAAAGACCTTTCCAGTGCAGCCAGTGTAGTATGGGTTTCATTCAGAAATACCTACTGCAGAGACATGAGAAAATTCATAGTAGAGAGAAGCCATTTGGATGTGATCAGTGCAGCATGAAGTTTATTCAGAAGTACCATATGGAGAGACACAAGAGGACACATAGTGGAGAAAAGCCATATAAATGTGACACTTGCCAACAGTATTTTTCAAGGACTGATAGACTCTTGAAGCACAGGCGCACATGTGGTGAAGCCATAGCTAAAGGAGCCGCTAGTGCAGAACCTGGGTCATCAACCCATAACAGTATGGGTAATCTGACTGTGTTGTCTCAGGGAAATACAAGTTCTTCAAGGAGAAAAACTAAGTCAAAAAGCATAGCTGTTGAAAATAAGGAACATAAGACTGGTAAAACAAATGAATCACAAATTTCAAATAATCTAAACATGCAGAGTTACTCAGTAGAAATGCCTACTGTGTCTTCCGGTGGAGGCATAATTGGCACTGGTATTGATGAACTGCAGAAAAGGGTGCCAAAATTGATCTTTAAAAAAGGAAGCAGAAAGAATACAGATAAAAACTACCTGAATTTTGTGTCACCATTACCAGACATAGTTGGACAGAAGTCCTTGTCTGGGAAGCCAAGTGGCTCACTTGGCATAGTATCGAATAATAGCGTGGAGACCATTAGTCTTCTCCAAAGTACCAGTGGCAAACAAGGTCAAATAAGTAGTAATTATGATGATGCCATGCAGTTTTCAAAGAAAAGAAGATATTTACCAACTGCCAGCAGCAACAGTGCCTTTTCTATAAACGTGGGACACATGGTCTCCCAACAGTCCGTCATTCAGTCTGCAGGTGTCAGTGTTTTGGACAATGAGACCCCATTGTCCCTTATTGACTCCTCAGCTCTAAATGCTGAAATTAAGTCTTGTCATGACAAGTCTGGAATTCCTGATGAGGTTTTACAAAGTATTTTGGATCAATACTCCAACAAATCAGAAAGCCAGAAAGAGGATCCTTTCAACATAACGGAACCACGAGTGGATTTACACACCTCAGGAGAACACTCAGAATTGGTTCAAGAAGAAAATTTGAGCCCAGGCACCCAAACACCTTCAAATGATAAGGCAAGCATGTTGCAAGAATACTCCAAATACCTCCAACAGGCTTTTGAAAAATCCACTAATGCAGGTTTTACTCTTGGACACGGTTTCCAGTTTGTCAGTTTGTCTTCACCTCTCCACAACCACACTTTATTTCCAGAAAAACAAATATACACTACATCTCCTTTGGAGTGTGGTTTCGGCCAATCTGTTACCTCAGTGTTGCCATCTTCATTGCCAAAGCCTCCTTTTGGGATGTTGTTTGGATCTCAACCAGGTCTTTATTTATCTGCTTTGGATGCTACACATCAGCAGTTGACACCTTCCCAGGAGCTGGATGATCTGATAGATTCTCAGAAGAATTTAGAGACTTCATCAGCCTTCCAGTCCTCATCTCAGAAATTGACTAGCCAGAAGGAACAACAGAAAAATTTAGAGTCCTCAACAAGCTTTCAGATTCCATCTCAGGAGTTAGCTAGCCAGATAGATCCTCAGAAAGACATAGAGCCTAGAACAACGTACCAGATTGAGAACTTTGCACAAGCGTTTGGTTCTCAGTTTAAGTCGGGCAGCAGGGTGCCGATGACCTTCATCACTAACTCTAATGGAGAAGTGGACCATAGAGTAAGGACTTCAGTGTCAGATTTCTCAGGGTATACAAATATGATGTCTGATGTAAGTGAGCCATGTAGTACAAGAGTAAAGACACCCACCAGCCAAAGTTACAGGTAAGGTCCCAAAAGTGACCAGGCTGGAGGTCAAATGTAATTTTGTTTTATTTTGAGAACACTGCCATTGGAATGTTTCTACACGATCCTATTAAGAATAATGTAATGCCCTTTCAATGCAACTTTTCATATTTAGTTTATTTTGTTAGCGTGATTTTAGCTCTGTTTGTATTATGATTTTTAATCAAAATCAATAGATTAAAAATAGTTTGACATTCAAAGTGACAATGTTTAGCAATCAAATTTACATGTATAGATCGTCAGGGAATAGCCCAAAAGTTTTAAATGCAAAAAAAAAAAAAAAAAAAAAAGCAAAAAAAAAAAAAAAAAACCCCAAAAAACAAAAAAACATACAAAAAAAACCACAAAAAAACAAAAAACACACAAAAAAAACTTTGTTGCTAGGATTAAGGTTATTCTAATTGCTTTACTCTCAGGAAAGTGTAATAACGCATGGGAATTCTGTACGTTATCACTGTAATGGAATATCCAATTTACAGATAGTATGATACACATTTCATCATTTAAGTAAGGGATCGAAAACATTTCAAATTGCTCTATCTGGGCTAATATACATTTCATCATTTTTAAGTAAGGGATCGAAAACATTTCAAATTGCTGTCTCCATCTAGGCTGATCCAAAATTCTGAGATGTTGGCTACCTATATTTTGTTGCAGCTTTTAAATGTACTCTGAACTTCCAAACCATTCATTCCAGCCTGGTAGAACAAATACTCTTGGATCTTTGATCAAAGCCTGGAATGATAGCTTTAATAAGAAGAAAAAAAAATTAGCACCCTCTCCTTATTCCAACTGTAACAAGGCTGTAGTTTCATTAGAAGTTACGATATCTGGCAGTGTTGATGACCGAGTTGTTGGTTGGTACCAGTATTAGAACCCAAGTTGGAATTACATAATTCTTTGAAATTTGGGGTATGCGTTTTTTATTATACATGGCTTAAAAACATTGTTCTCTTGTCTATGTTATTACTTGTCACCCACACTTCTGTTTTTTTGTTCTTGTCCTACCCTCTTAGAGTTCTGAGCCTGCTTTGTTCCCTCTTCTCTCTGGACAGTTTAAATTTTAGAATGATTTACATTCCATTAGGTAATTCATTAGGTATTTTATATGCCTTTTGGCATTCAAATACTAAACAATAGGATAACCCCCCATGTACCTTTTTAAAAAAAAATAAAACCCATACAGATTTCCATGTATAATGAAGCCCCATACTCTGAGCTATAGGTATTATTATTAAGGTTGTAATTCCAACTGGTGACATTGCTAATGTGGGGGATAAGAGTGTCTGCATTTAGTAATGACATCAGAACCCTTTGTGAAATTGCAGCCTTTAATGTACATTTTAAAAGGGTGCATTAGTCAGTATTGTACAGGGGTCTTGTAAAGTCATCAAAATTTGCTATGAACGCTAATTGCCCTTTGAAGCTACTGATAAGACAGTAGCTCTGCTCTAAACCACTTTTTAGCAATTGTATTTTTTTCCTGATTATATTTTTTAATGTACTTTGATGTTTATGCTGATGAGTTTTTTATGTACTTTTGGTGATGTTTCAGTCTTATGTACTCTTCTGACGTCAGAAAAGTACCACTGGTTGTTTGCAGTCTTATTGTGTAATCAGCCTACCACAGGCTTCCATGTATAATAAAGTAATTAATATTGTGCAAGTGTAAAACACTTCTGTTATGAAAGCAGTGTTTGGAAAATAAGAAATTATTAAAAATGGTTACAAAATATTAGTTAATTTCCTTTCCCCACTTTCCTCCCTTAAGTCTGCTTACCAGCTAAAGGGTCACCTATTTGTCATTGCAAGATTCTTAGAAAATGTGTTTAATCCTTTTAAATACACTCAATACTAAAAAGTTTGTATTTCTTATTTTGGTAAGTGCGGTAAGTTCTATTGGGTACAGAGTACAAGCTGTAATCAAAGGATGGAGAGGACCTTTACCACTGTATCTCTTAAACTGTATGATTTTTCTCCAGTGTTTGTTTTATACAGGTTTTGAATTTCTTTAACTTTTATTGTGTGTACTGAATACTGCATATGTATTATTCTGATTGTTTGCTCTAGTTTACTACCAATAAAAGACCTGTTAATCACAAAATTGAAGAAAGGAGATATCACTTAATATCCAGTAATATTTTTCAGGGTTTTTTTTATTAACTACATTTTCTAAAATAATTCCTTATTCTGGTGGTATAACCTGCATTTTAGGGACTTGTATGTTTATTGTGGTTTTTGGGTTTTTTTGAACTTAAATATTTTATATTTCTAGGTTTATTTGAAAATTGGGTGAGTATTTTCTTTGTGTTTGAGGTGCACTATATGAAAGGGTAGAAATTTAAAATTATGTAAATCAGAACGTTTTGTTGAAATTGGGTTACCTCTCCTAAATATTAGAGACACTATTTATTGAGACCTCATTTAAAATCAGATTCCAATATCTTTTGGTTCTAGATGGATCCTTTTTGTCTTAAAAAGGTTGTAATAAGATAACAGTATGACAAAAATGGCCTTGAGCATTTTTAATAGGAATAAAAAAAAGTATTAGTCATAGTTTAACCATGTTTAAAAAGGTTGAAAGTATAGATAGCAGAAGGAAAGAAGTAAGACATTTAAATATTAGAGATGCGGAAGAAATGTTTGGAAGTGTCTTTTAAAGATGGAGAAAAACTAAGTGGCTGTGTAAAATTGTGCTTTGAAATCAGTGGCTACAAATGTTGAATTAAGGAGTAAAAATATTAAAGGATAGAATAGGTCTTTGCAACTTTGCCCTTTTTTGGGGGCATATGATACTATTGTAGGGAAATGATAAATTATTATATTAAGCGTGAACATGGATTTCTCTGGAGAGAAATATCTGCTCCTGGACCCACATGATTAGGGAAAAGTAAATTAGTTCTTTCTTTGCCAAGGTCATTTCCTAGATTTGGTCATTTTCTTGAACAAGAGTGCTAAGCAGAATCTCACTGAGTCTGCATTCAAATCCAACTCCTGATTTATCTGCACAGATAACTTCTCCATTCTAGGTTAACGCTAACATTTTTTTTTTTTTTTTAAACCCACCTACCTCCCCCCCATTGTTTCTGTCTGTGGAATGTCCTTATCTGAATACGATCTTTTTAAAATAAAAGTTTTTACTTTTAAGATGTTTGGGTATGAAGTAGGAAACTGTTGTGTTGCTGTACATTCAGGATGAGGACTACCATAATTTAGCAGTTGCTAGTCAGTAATTTGTGTGGTAATTCAATAATGAGAACAGAAGTATGTGGAAAAGAATCTGTACTTAAAATTTTTTTTAGTAGGCTCTACACGCAACTTGGGGCTCGAACTCGCAACCCCTAGATCAAGAGTCAGCCAGGCACCCCTGTACTCAAAATTTTTAAGTTTTTAAAATTGTGAACAGTGATAGAAATATTTCTACCTCACATTTAGTTTTATGTATTGCATTAATCATGTAAGAGAAGCAAAACTTTTTGTTCCTTCCTGGTATGTGGCATTTTGTAGTTTACTTGTAATTAGTAGCATTTGAGCCTGAACTGGGTGACAGTTTGAGCAATATGGCCTCATGAGGGCATATACAATCCTTACTTTGCAAATTCATAGGTCTTGTTAAACTGAAGAACTTCCCTCAAAAAAAAAAAAATAAGCTTCTGAACTTCAGAGTTATATTTTTAGAGTAAACTACATCTGAAGACTATCCTTTTTGAGATTTATGGTCTTCGTGTTTTTCTAATCCATAGTGACAGGATTTTAATTTTTAAAAGTGTGATGCAAGATTCCTTTATTAGTGCTATGATACAATCCATGCATCATGTTGTGTGAGGTTATGTCAGTAATGTTCCATGAATATATTTGTTACAGAATCCCTTACCACAGAGGAGGATCTGTGGTGGTTTGCCAATCTTGTAGTTCCTGATAGATTTTGAGGGAAAAAGTTGTGTTAGTTCCACTTGTTATATTTATTTACATCCTTAATAATTGATTACTTGAACATTAGCATGAAGACAGCACCATGAATTCTGTTGTCTTACCCTTGATCAAAAAACTTGAAAATAAAGCCTCTGAGATTACAGTGAGTTTAAAAAGAGATTAAGCTATAAAGAGGGCATACACTTTTAAAATTATTTTTCTTTGTGTCTGTTTTGCTTTTTAAAAAAGTATTGACTGCATGTGAGTGACCAACTTAAGTAGATTCTATTTAAATTTTTGATGAGCCTTTGGCTCACTCTAGGGAAGAACTATGTAACGTTTTTAGGGTTACAGACTCCTTGGGCAGCTAATGATAGAATTGATACCTTCCTACCCGCATTCATTAGAAATATATTTGCACATGAAAATTTACAAGCTCATCTGTATGCTCACAAGAACCGCCCCCCCCAAAAAAAAACTCCCAATAAAAAATTCCTAACCTGTGGACCTTAGGTTAAGAATCCCTGCCTTGGGGCACCTGGCCAGCTCAGTGGGAAGAGCATGCAACTCTTGATCTTAGGGTTGTGAGTTTGAGCCCCACATTGGGTGTAGAGATTACTAAAAAAAGAAATAAACTTAAAAAAAAATCCCTGCCTTAGAAGACTGCCTAAATATTGAAATTTTATTTTACAAATAGTCAATACCTAAACTAAAAAAGCATCAGATATTAAGAGTACTTAAAAGTTTCTTTATATGCAATTTAATTACTTAGCATTTATAGAACACATTTAGGTTACATAAGGCCATAAAATTTTATGATAAGCTGGTCAAATAATGAGTTGAATATAATGCTTTGCACAGTTTCTCATCTGATAATAAGTGCCATAGAGATGCTAGACTTGACAATGGTTCAGTATTTTCCATCAACAAAGAAATGTGTGAACAGTGTATAATAACTACAGTCAACGACTGTGCTGCTTTAGTTGTACAGGAGTAGCTTCCCACATAAGCATGCGTATCGACAAAAATGAAAGCCCACAACCAACCCATACCTTTTTGCCTAGAAAGAATAATACTGAGTTCTTAATAACATGAAAACTCTGCTTCGTATAGCCTGAGTGTGACTAGCTAGGTTGAAATACACTGTGCAAGATAAGCCTTGAAAAGTATGTTGTTACACGTTGAGATAGGTATCTCTTGGGAAATGTAGATAAACAGCTGGAGAAAAATGTAATGATTTGGATCTTATACTCCAAGGGGAAAATTTTGTTTCCTGTGTTTGTAGGGAGTAAAAGAATAATGGGCAGAGGTTGTGTGTTAAGGGAGGTAAGGAATATGTTAGGATAGGAGAAGGAAAGGAATAGGTTTGAAGGAAAATAGGGAATATAAATTTACTCCA